GCGAGGGTCCACGAGTAAAGTACTCCCGCAGGCCACCCTTCTCCTTTGCTCTCCCAGTGGACCAATTTACGGCACCCTGAGGACTCTGGGTATTACGCTTCACGCTCGGGGGTTCGTTTCTGGCCATTGTTGCGCCAGTCAGGGGATTATTTCGGCAGGGACCGAGGGATGCTTCTCTCCCTGGTTCCAGTTATTCGTCTCTTTCGCACAGCTACCCCCCTCGTGGGGATTATACGTTCTCTGGAGCACCTGCACGCCTCAACTCTGTCCCCATGGCCTGATCTGTTTCACAAAGTGAGAAAGTAAAAGAAAAAAGATAAGAAAAAAAACACAGGGAACAGTTGGAAGCCATCTTCGCTGATTAATTCGCCTCGATATCGGAAAGAAAACCATTTAACGTAATAAGCTACTTCACCAGCTAAAGTTCAGTGTGCCTACCCTCTACCCCACTCTGGATCTGGCGACTATCGTGGGACCCGTTAAAAACTCTTACAAATAACAATTATAAACGGGGAAGCCCAGCCGATAAAGAAGAGCGTTCGTCCATTTAATTATCTTTGGTCTCGTTGAAGGGAAAACTAGGCGAACGTGCGCGACCGTTCGCGCTGTAGAATTCGAATCGTTTTATCGGTATCCATTTCGTGAACCTTTGACACAGTACGATATCCCGGCACCGACACTCGAATCGTCTTTTTACGTTCTACCTCTCCCTCTGAGTTCTTATCGAAAGTGAGCCACCGCCCGCGTTATTCTTTACCCTCCGTTCTTTCCTTTTTTACCCCCCTTGTTTTACGGCACTTCGATACGCTTCTCCGCCGATACAACGTTCCCTTTTTATCGACAAGATTTTTACGATCGTACACGGTTCCCGGTGTACAATAACAGTCAGTGTGTGCGAGAGAGAAAGAGGGAGGGGGAGCGTAAGTGAATCTCGAGTGCACCAGTTCAGAGAGTAATGGAAGAGACAATATGTCGCGTCACACACCAGGCGAGCCTGGTAGAAGGATGGGGGAGAGAAGCAATACGCGCCCCAGGTGCCGAATAAATGTTATAGAAGGATACAATTTGGCCACACTCCATCGAGCGCAGTCAGGCACACGCTCTCTTTTCGCCGACATACAGTAGGTCGCGCGAAAACGATTTTTTTCCGGTCGTCGCATCCGTTCAGCACGGGTAATTGTATCAACGAGCAAAAACGCAGATGTATATCGATAGGCAACGATAGAATCCGTTACCTGTATACGTGAAAAATGACCGGCTGAAATCAAAAAGGAAAAGCAACGAGAGATACGAAAAAAAAAGAGGAAGAAAAACAGAGAGAAAAGGAATGAACAAATATCAAACGGCGAAAAGGAATATAAACGGAAAGCAATAACGCCCAGCTATGGAACCAGGCAGAGAACGTCGAAATTAAAACAATCGCCCCCCTCTCTACTCTATTCCCGTTTCAATCCCCACCCCTCTGTTTCCCCCTTGGTGAACAAGAAGCAGCAGCGTGTAATTACCGCGAGCGGGAGCACGAGATCGCGATTCCACTCGGCCAGGAAACGTATAATGGGAGTATAATGCGTGAAATTTACCGGGCGCATCAGCATAATGGACGACGTGACGCTCAAGATATCACTGTGATTCCATATTTCCGTGCCGACAGCGCGGACTCGATTCGCCTCGGCTCGCTTGCCCCGCCGGCGTGCTTCGAACGCGACGCATTACCATGAGCATCGCGCGCCTCGACCGCCCCCCGAAGCCTTTAAATCGCACGATTATCGTTCCGCTGCTTGAAAACGTTTCCCACCCTCGTCTTAAATGGAAGTTTTCATCCGCAAATGGGGGGGCTCTCTTTCTTATATATTTTTCTCGTACGATTTTTGGACGTGTAAGATACGTCTCTACAAAGATATCCGACAAATTGCACAAAGTTATAAGCTCCTGAAACCGAGCGAACTAAAAAGAAGACCTCCTAATAGACGCCCAGACTAAATGTTCTTTGCTTCGTAACGAAAATACAAAGAGCTCCTGTTACTAGAAAATGTGTCTGGTTGGTGAAATTCAATCGAGTTGTTTACTCGTGTTCCGATGGATTCATGCGCAGCAAACGAATATAGAAATAAAAATATACGCATATATATATATTCCGTACGGTTGTATTCGATTTCATCGAGTTTTCGAAAGTTTTTTCAGCTGTGCACGCAACGAACCACGCTTGCACGAAGCGTCCGAGCAAACGGGCCGATTAAACGCATCAATATTTGCTGAATCAGGGCCCGTCGCGAGAGTGTATATGCCAACGGTTTACAGAAGGTTATGTCCGCCTAATACCGTGTATGCGCGAGTGTTTCGCCACCGACGCGCAGCACCGACTCTTCCCCCCCACCACTTCGCCCGTACTAGAATAGAGCGAGAGGCAACGCGATGTTTGCATCCTTTTTTATCTCCGCGCAATCTGTCTCACTCCGGTTTTGCTTCTTCACGGCACTCGCCCAAAGTCACCCTTTTTCCACAACATTGTCACAGCCTTTCGACGAGGGAGACAGAGCCGCGACTCTTTCGCTCTGTGTGCTCTTTTTTCCTCTCCCCCTCTTTTTTCATCCACGCTTTCTCTCTCTCTCACTCCGTCTCTGTTCGTCGCGTTTCTCGCCCTCTTTTCTCCCCGCTGCCTACCACGTGCTACAATATCGCCGAGCCGCATCCGGTGTAACGCCTGTTATTAGGGATGGGCCAGATGAGGCTTTCATTATTCTATCCAAGAGAAGGGGTCCCTCTCTCCACCCGACAACACACCGTTATAATACAAAGTAATGGCTGATTTTTTGCTTTCGCCTCTAATTATTATGATTATCGGGGCCAGGGCAGATATAATGGCAACGGTGAATGATGTAATTTTTCCCCAGCGCGAACACGCCGCCACGGCCGCAGCGGCGGCTGTTGTTGCTGCTCTCCGCGTCACTCTGAACGCGAAAATATCCTGTTTCTAATATACGCATTCTCACGCGTTTAGCCGGTGTTCGTTAACGTCTCCACTCCATTATCGCCGTATTAGAATAAATGAATCCGGCAATAATTACCCCCTATCAATCTCTCCTCATCATACTTTGAAATTTAACGATGTTTCTTTCCATACTTCCTTGTATTATTATAACACCCTCTCTGCCCCTCTTAAACCTCTTCCCTTTCAAACGCGCCGCCAAATGCCTTTATCCTTCGAGACTACGCGTAATTATGTTTTTACATATTTCCTCGCTTTTCTTACGTCGTTACATACCTTTTTATCCTTCTTTTTTGCTTAAGTTCACTTATGTTTGTATAGTTACTGTTTCAGAGTGGGCTTAAAAACAGTCTAGCTGTACTTCGCTTTTTATGCGCGTATTTTTACATACATCTGTTTACAATTTCCAAGGTTATACCTATCTTGTACGCTTGAGTGTATTAATACACACGGTTGTAACAATAATTGTCCCCCTGCTATATTTCTCTTTTCTATCGTTATGTTATTTTTATTTTTGTAATTGTTCGACTGTTATTCCGCAAGAAAGTATTATTATTGTTATTATTATTCAATATATGGCGTGCATTGAATACTCTGACAAAAAGCCACGCTCCTCCTCTCTTCGTTCCACAAGCCGTTTATAATATCCTGTTCATCGACCGGCAAGAATTTCAGCGACTAAAACACGCCGTGAAACTATGCTTACACGGTACACACGTATATATGTATGCATGCATACACAGGCACGTAGTTCACCAATCTCGTACATCGTTATGGTTATGTACAACGAGCGAGACGCTTTAATTGTAGCTGGCTATTAAACGCTGAACACGAAATCCGTAGCGCTACGTGGAGGACACGCGAAGAAAAGGATCTTCGATTCACGGATCAATAGGCTGCCCCCCTCCCTCCTAACCGCCACGTCCTCGCAGCGCGGCGAGACGAAGCGGCTTTTACACGGTCCACGGCTAACCTCGAATTCGCAACGGGATTTGCGGCCATGCGGCAAACGCTTCGATATCTCGAAATCTCGAAACGAGTTGGGGTTGCACATATAGTATCTATACACGCCCCTGGTCCCAAAGGCACGTGTATCCAACACTATACGTATAATACATGTGCACACACACACGTGCATACGCGCGACCATGATAAATGTGTGCACCGCGACGCACGTGACCGCATTAACAGCGGCAGGAAAGCGAGGCGCGCGAAGAAACCGCGCGCGCGTTCGGTATTATTATCGTTCGCTAGCTTCACGTCGTTTGGCGTTTCCATTTCGAGCAGGAGGGGGGAATGTTTTGACGTGCACGCGCGCACCGTTCGTTCCCTTCGACACGAGAGTACAACACAAGGATCTTGTACCATAATAGTACGAGCGCGGTGTATTGGTAAAAATTCCACGGAAAGAGGTGGTAATATGATCAACGACGATCGTCGAAAGGTGTTACACTGGTTTCTACGCCACTGAACGCGATCGGAATATCGCGCGCATACGCGAGACTCCATGCGCACGTGAAACTCGAGCCAAGTTTCTGCTGGGCCCCGAGCGAGATCGCCTTACGCGGTACAAATCGTTCAAACCGCGTAACAAAGGCGTAACGTGTACAGAATCACACTATGGTAGTGTTTTTTTAAATTTTCGAAATGTGAAAGGGCGTTACACCGGCAATAAAATTTCTTCGAGGTGTAATATAAGAGAGGAATTTGGAAAATTATTCGAAAGAAATATTTGGAAGCAAGTACAGCGATGAATAACGTTACAAAGAACGCAAAATCGATGGAACGGTAGAGGCAGAAAAAGATTGAAACGGAATTGAATTTTACTCACCGGATGCCTGGCAGCGGCAGCGGCCACAGCGGCTGCGTTGATTCCAGCACTGGGATACATGTTTCCTCTCTGGTTTCAAACTGGTAGAAAATAGAAACACTGTCGTATGCGTTCTCAAATCACGTAAGCGATACGCTTCATGTCACGCGGCACACCGAACGACAACAAAATAACAACAACAAGAAGAACGAACGAACGAACGATAAACAAAAAACCACCGGAATTCAAATCGCCCGCGTGGGCTACGAGGATGAGCAACCCTTAGGACGGCACTGCCCGCGGTTCTGTCGATGCGTTTCGATCGAGAAGGTCCCCGCCTCGGATGCACGACGATGATCCATTGGTGTGTTTGTCATCCGCCACTACCGCATTCTCATCGGTGATATACGATTTCCACCTCGTCTCGAACGATAAACTACTCGTGTCACCACTTATTCCAACCGCCTTCTACGTTCATTGAGGTTAGACGTGACGCCGACGCCACGAAGAATCCCGTTTGGCACGAAGAGCGTGGCGTGCCCTTTATACGGTCGGTAAAACAGAGCGATAACCGCGTTAAGAATGCGCGAAGGAAGCTTCTTTTTCCCCCGTCGGATTGAAACGAAAGAAGAGAAACTGCTCTCTTCCCTCCCCCCTACATACACGACTTCACTTCCTTAATGCTGGAACACCATCACACAGAGACACTGCACTTAGTTGTTTACGACCCTAAACGGTGTGGCCCGCCGCCACTTTTGAGGTTAAGTTTACCAACACTAGCACGCACACGTCTTTCCCGTTGCAATGAACCACGAGGAAAACTTTTCTGGCAGCGAGAAGGCACGTCCGAGAATCGAAGAGCGGGAGCACCGATCCAAAGAAACCGGCGAACGCAAACGTGAAAGCGAGCACGAAACGTGAAGCGTACAGACGGCCAACAAGAACAAACCTCTCTCTACAACGGCCTCGGAGCGACTGATGGACGAGTAAGTGGTGGGGATAGTATCCCCTCCAGAGCAATCTTTCCCTTCCCCCACTACGACGAGCCGTTACTCCACAGTTAAACCCGCCAAGCACCCCCTCGAATGTCTCTCCTCGTTCTCGACGCTCGTATTAACCGGCGCGATAGCTCCTTCACAATTAAGTCGCGTTACGTAAGGGTCTCGAAAAGGCGAGCACGAAAATCACGGCTCGTTAAAACGTCGGTACCGTCCCTCCTCTTTCTTTCTCGCTCCTCGCTCCTTCTCTCTTTTTGCTTTCTGGCACTCTCTCTATTTCATAGCACCTGTCGTGTCCCTATCGTACACTTGATCTGTTTTATCGGCCAGGCGATGAGGCTCGGACACGTCCATCGTGATTTCGGCACAGCGTTGACACGATGAGTGACCCGACCATGCCTTTAGGGCCGTTTTAGTTGACCGTAATTAATCGGGTTTGAAATGAACGGTTATATTCACGTTAAGCATGGCGCAATCGAACGATATACATGGATTCTATTATGTACACGATTAACGTAATATGTTTGCTCTGTTCCTCTCCTACCTATCTCTCTCGCTCTCACAGTTCCTTCCCTCTCTCTCTCCCTCTCTTCCTAACTATGAATTATTTTAAATCACAGCGTTTCTTTCACATTGTATCAGCATTGTGAAATTTTCTCCCACCGACTACCTACTATTTCAGGATTAATGGAAGATGCTTCAACGAACCCATTTATCAATGTTGATTACGTTCGTTTTTTTCCATTCCACCAATGCTTATTATCGCTGATACCGCGTTTAACAAGAGTGTGTGCAAACAATATTTGTCGACTACATAAATTCAACTACCTTCGGAATCTAGACAATTCAAAGTATCAATCTCACGGAACGCAATGGAATGACTAAGGGAACGCATGGTTCTCGGAATACTTTTTTCGAGCCGCGCCGTCGCTGCTCCATTATCTCCGGGGCCGGCCGGTGCTTCGCTTTAAACAGACACAATTGAGAAAGAGAGATACATCGTTAGCTCGTGGCCGATATCGTACAAGCAACGAATCGTGTATTCCGCCGGTGTACAGGGTCCGGCGATTTTTGCAAGTTGAAGCACGAAGAGACCTGGAAGCCTCGAAAGTTTTCGGTCCCGCAGATACGGTCGAATAAACGAGAGGACAGGGCGCGGAACACGGCGTGCCATGCATACGCGTAGGTATTAGTTGCTTCTCTTGGTTCGCTCGGCGTGTGCAAACAAATCGAAAGTTTTTCGCAAAATGGCCGTCACCGGGCTGACACGGATGTCCGCATAAACTCTCTCTCTCTCTCTCGCTCGCTCTGACTGCCTCTCTCGCCACTCGTGATTTCCCTCACTTCCCACACCACCACAAATATGGCGCCTCCACCCGTTTTCCCAACCCCTACAACGTGCCTCTATAAAGTGAGAGCAACGGAGAAAGACGAAGAGAGATAGAGCGAGAGAGAGCGAGCGAAAGGGGAAGAAGGAGAGAGCGAGTGAAGGCAAGCTGTGCGGACGGAATATATACACGCGCATCGAACGCGATTGTGTCCGAGTATCGGTGTGTAGCGAGTGTACGATTCTATGCGTGTGGCAAGGGGGTGCCCCTATGTGAATATCGCGGAGCACACAGTCCCAAGCAGTTTCCTACTTGATTGCCGCTATCGTCCGCTCGCTTCGTAAAGGAACTGCTCCGCGCGGACTGGTCGCTCGCCGCCTCGACCAATCGGAGCGCGTCTAGCCACGACTTGGCCAATGGTGGCGCGCCAGACCCCACCGCGTGCCACGATCGCCGCAAAGAGTCGAATGAAAGCGCGACCTCGACCAATGAGAACGATACTTTTTGAGTTGACGCCGGTGCGTTGGGTCCGCGCGGAGTCGTTGCTCGAGCCCCACGGATGTTCCTATACGGAATGAAGGTGCTACGCGAAGCCGCAGCGAAACATGAAAAATAGGGGGCTACATGAGGAAAAACACGGACCGGGTAGGAAGGAGAGGAGGGCTCTGTGGGATGGATCCTACGAACCGAGACACCAAAGGCCTGGCGCAGCCGTGGTGTGTGTGCGACGTGGCGGCCAAGAGGGAGAGAGGGATGTCGAGGATAGAGGCCTGAGGATGAGAATGGAAAAGTAACATAACGAAACGTCGATCCCATTACCTGGAGCTCTCTCGCCCTGCCGCCACCGTGCACCGAGCCCTGCTTTCGACCCTTAATCCAAAGGAGGATTAGAAAACCCCATTGTCATGCTTCGCGGAACGCGGGATGGGATATATACATACATATGTACAGAAAAGCACTCCGCACAATTTCTCCCCTCCCCTCTTGCGCCGCCGCTGCTGCCTCTCGCCTCGCCTCCTTTTCGCATCGCACAACGGAGGCGGTGGTGCAGGACCCTTCCTAATGAAATAAATACGTGACGTGCCGTGCTAGTGACGATGCGATGGTAGTTCTGTTTATCGCCAACCATGAACTTTTTGCGCGATGCACAGAAACGCTCACCAAACCCTCCCCGCCGTTATTTCCCCTTCGACTCCCCCCTTCCGCCGCTCCGCTGGTCGGTCTGCTATCGTTTCACCGTTTTCCTTCCCTCCTCCGTCCCGTTCTAACTCGTTCCGTCTGGTTCCACCGCTCTTTATCTTGTTCCACCGGGGCGAAGAAGGAATATAAGGCAGTGCCGTGGAGTGTTGGCGAAGCTGTCGGTCGCGCTTGGTCGGCTGCGGTTTATGCGGAGCCGCCTTGCCTGCTGCCTGCCGCAGCCGGTTTGCGTGTTCGCCCGTGTTCGCTCGGTGGATACGTGTCCTCGGTGCGGCTCGGTGCTCACCGAACGACCATGGACGCGCTCGGCTATGGAGAGTAAAGAGGAGAGATCGACGGAGAAAGGGTGGAAGGAAGACAGAGACAAAGGCACCGGTAGAGGGAGCGAGACGGCTGTTAGAGTGAATTGCGAGGGTGAGGGAGACGCCGGCAGGCGGCAGAACCAGTCGCTGCGGTCGTCGCGGCTAACCGCGCCGGTGCTCTCAACCCACGGCGACCTCGGCAACCGCATTGAAGAATACGGTCTCTTATACGATGCTACCGAGCTCTATTGCCAACTTCCAAGAGGCTGGCTTATTTCTTTAATCCGATTCCCTCGTGGAAATTATGTTTATCATTCGAGTCGAACGGTACAAATTTTCATCACTTTTTTCTTCAGTCCTGTACAGAGTGTCTCGCTAGACGAATGGTAGGCTCGAACGGAGGAGAATTTGTAGGTGTGAAAATAAATGGAAGCTTGACGAGAATATTTCAGTTCGTCATTGTGGAAAATTGAATTTGGCGCAAAAAAAATTTCACTCGATCTCTCCCCGCCCCCAACCGTTCTGTCGTACATATATATTTTATACAGAGCGTTTAACCTACAGGTATTACGCGTATCATGGTTATCATTGAAAAATTCGTTTTGCAATATAATTCGTGGGATCACGGTGTTTAATGGAGCCGGTAATTTGCGCACAGACTGGAACAGGTGTGCTCATTCGCGCGCGTCCGTTTCATGATCTATAGCCCGCCGGCCCGTTTCTCCGGGATCATTGTGTTAAATGCGAAAGAAGTCATTCGCCACAATGTAAATATTACTTTGGCCGCCATTACGCGGCAGGCCTCTGTTCTATTCGTGGCGGCGGGTGTACGCGAGAATTTCCTGCTCGGAAAATCGCCAGGGAAAACGTCGAGGAGCTGGTTTAATTAATTATAATTGGCTGAGTGCATCGGGCAACCGCCTCTTCTACGGGACCAACGTCCACTTCATCCGCCTCGCGGAGGGAGAAGGAGGGGAAAGATCTAAGAGCTTGACTTCTGCCTGAATGAGAGTATACGTACGTCTCGCCAAGTTGAAGAGGATTTGCGAGAGGATGATCGAGCGCTGCGGGCCGGCCATTAATATATTTGAAAGAGCCTCTCTCCGTTTCAAACGGATCTCCGAAATAATTGAACGTCGAATGGCCGCTAATAACGTGCAATTTGTATATCGGGCGTGCATCGATCAAACGTGGTACCCGGTGAGACAAAAATATTAATCACATTTATATTAATCGCGGGGTAAAATTGAAAGATCGAAGTTGTTTCGTCCTGTCGTTTCAATTTTATCCTCCTCCTCCTCCTTCGTCGTGTGTGTGTGTGCCTGTGTGTGTACAAAAGAGCG